AAACTGTTGAAACAGTGGACAATATCAAGCATTGTCCAAAAGCGTCGGAATAACTAACAAATCCACCAATTACGTACATGCATATGCTGCTTGCCCAACACAGTCATCAGAGGATCGTTTCTAGACGAAACATGTCGATGTAGCATTGCTGCTTCCCCAACACTGTCATCAGAGAGTCGTTAGAAGACGAAACAAGTTGAAGTGACATTCGCCTCCGATCTTTGGGCGTGTGCGAATAGGGAGGATGTAATTGCGTAACATTTTGCACACTCATTGCCATATTCAGAACCACACGCCCCCAAATGACCACACAAAATGCCCTCCAGAGTTGTAATCTTGTAACCAAACTTGGAAGCCAGGGTGCACGTGATTTTGATCGATTCTCTTCATCGACTTTCTGTTTCGTTAATAACTCGACGGCAAACACATTCATTGATACGTTTGTTGTTCTGGATGATAGAAGCGCATAGCAGAAATTGTGCGAAATAGGTTAGTGAAGCCATGGTCATTAAAGGAGGAAATCGATGAAGAGAATTGACTTTCACCCCTCTGCTTCTAAGTTCCTTAATTCAGTCGTCGTCATTGCAATGAAAACTAGCATCGCAATGCTTTTGGTTCTTGGGTTACACTTGCTGGTTGCAATTCTGCTGCTCAACATTTTCGAAGGACCACCAAAAACATGAAATTACACTATTTTCTAGGATTGCCTGAAAGTTCAATTATTCGATTAACGATTAATCGCAAAGACTTTTCCAGCTATTCGATTAAATATTCATCGAATTTTCAGTTATTCGAGCGCATCACCCCTGTCCAGCAGCAGACGGGCCGAGATTCTTGTAAGTGCCCAATCATTGAACCGAAGAATATGGGTTTGTCCGGTCCGAAATTGCTTATCCAGCTGCCTACACGTCATCATCATCTTCCAAAGGCTTTAAGCATGTTCAGGGCTAGCAAGATTTTCCAAAAGAGTTAAATTTCTGAACATGTCCCAACTAAAATTCATACCAAAGGTTCTTTTCAAGGTAACCATAGTCATGCTAAAGAGTATAAACAGAGAGAACCCCGCTCGAATTCCTATTCCTACACAAAACACAAGCTCCTGCTGCAGTTAACAAATAATATTTATTATATAAGACCACGTAGTCCTGCGTCACCATTCCGTACAACCCCATAGGGCTGTCCCTTGTAGTTTTTCTCTCTCGATTCTTCACGATTGAGCTCCGGATCCGGATCAAAGCTGATGGTCTGGAGCTGAAGCCGAAAATAGTGAGAGCATTTCTGCGTAGAGTGATGTTGTTGGTTTAGACTACTTGTACGATATTATGTAGTGTTAAGCTTATATAACTCTATTGGTTTAGGTTCACCAAAACCACTTAACCATATTGAAATTGTGTCAACATTTCTATAATTTCAATGTGAGCTGAAGAGCTGTTCAAAAGAATCGGCTCTCCTTAGTGAGCTGGACGTTTCTGATCCGCTCAGACATATGAGCTGTTTGGCACACATCTAGTTTACAAGCCAATTGTACATCATGACAATTGCCGCCGCATTGGGTAACAGAATTCTGATCCAAACTGTGCACCAGCCAATAGGTCTTATAAATCTGAATAAATTCGTAAAAATCAGCTATCTTCTATCTAGTTAGAGCAAGTGAGTAACTGCGCTGTTCAATCCATCTGAACAACAACAAATCTGCTCATATATGACAAAAACCGATACAAAATTTACTTGCCTACAAATCATACTCATAGACTTAAAATACGTAATCCCAGTGAGTAATCACATTTTCTAAGATGTTAAATAAAATCCTACTCAATTTTGAGTTAGTCTCATCGGTCGTGTGTTTTGGATGTTTTATTGCGAGTAAAGAGCGGTGACTTTTGCCAGTGGTGAGTTATTTACCCTTCATGAAAATTCACTATTGTTGCATACAAAATGCTTAAATATTGAAATTTAACGAATGAATTTTGACAGATTTGGACCTGTTTCATACGTCCGGAAGTTGCTGGACAAAAATACCTTCAACAATTGATTTTCTACGGAAGTCAATCAGTCTTTGGTGATTATTTTACGATTAAACGGTTTGAGCAGTTCTTATAGCATATAAATCAACCCCCTGTAATGAGTTCCAGTTCTTGAAACTGCCGAAAACATAAGTAGCGCTGCTGCTCTTTAACATATTTATGCTCCAACCATGCAACATGAAATGCGGCAAGGTGGCAACAAATGTAATGCCCTAAAAACCATTTTCAATTTCCCGCACTGGTCAATTAAAAATTGACTTACTTGTTTCCGAATTGGCGAGCACTTTAACATTATCTAAAAAACTTTCTCTATTTTCCGCAACGCAGCGCGACATGTACCAAGCTTAATCGTAGAGGAAAAGGAGAAGCTGTAAAATTGGAACCAGAGCACCAGAGGAATTTGGCTTCACTCAAGTTGATCGCGTTGCAATCCTGTCATACAAATTACCCATAGTTTATTGACCACCACCACATTCACAGACGAACTAAATAAATCGTACACACACTACAAAAAATCATTTAAATGTCGGTTCCCTGAGACCGACACTTGCAACTGACAAGCGAATTACGTCATGTGCAAAAATAGTTATTTCTAAAAGTGCAGGTACGCTCTTTTATAGCCTCACGATTGACTCGTCTCCCTCTGTTCTATCGATAGTCATAGCAAGTAAGCACGTGATTAGTTGATTACGGCCAAAAAAATTGATCAATTTTCAATAGTTTACAAATGATAAGTCACTATACTCCTTATACCATACGAATCTTACATCAAATCTGAATCAAATGGTGTGAAAACAATTGAAATCCATCCATAAATGGCCAAGTTATAAGCGTTTAAAACCTGACACTATTCCGTCACACATATTTTTTTTTTTGCACCCTGGTATAGTCCACACGGACATAGTCCTGCGTCAAAAAATTGCATCAGCACAAAATTGAATTATTGCTCATGACAAATAGTTATGCGAAATTTCAGAAAGTCGAGTCATTTTTTTTTGCTTTGTTCCAAAACTGCTGGACCCTGGGTAGCTTGGCGTTTCAATATAAAACTGATACCAGCTGTTTGGACGTTCGGTAAAACTTTGACCACGATTTTGACAACTATTTTTTCCCGAACATGACTGCAGCAAGCTACCAGCCTTACAAAAACATCTTATATCTGTTGTGTGTGTGTGTGTGTGTGCGTGTGTGTGTGTGTGTGTGTGTGTGTGTGTGTGTGTGTGTGTGTGTGTGTGTGTGTGTGTGTGTGTGTGTGTGTGTGTGTGTGTGTGTGTGTGTGTGTGTGTGTGTGTGTGTGTGTGTGTGTGTGTGTGTGTGTGTGTGTGTGTGTGTGTGTGTGTGTGTGTGTGTGTGTGTGTGTGTGTGTGTGTGTGTGTGTGTGTGTGTGTGTGTGTGTGTGTGTGTGTGTGTGTGTGTGTGTGTGTGTGTGTGTGTGTGTGTGTGTGTGTGTGTGTGTGTGTGTATGTGTGTGTGTGTGTACAATCTAACCCCCACTGCCCGGCAGTGTTATTATGGAAGAAAACTGCTTTTTATTACCCTTAAATTAAAGCAGGTTTAGTCCGGGAGTTAGAAGGTGTTAGCTCTATTGCAGCTCCAGTGACCCATTTCAGAATGCCTGGTAATTCACGACCACTCCGAGGTCACTTTTACTTACAATAAGCCCCGCATGTTCACTCTACCTTTATCAAATGGATAATGGTATCATAAACACACTTCCAGATTCAAAAATATTATTTCCAAATCTGGCACGTATATAGTTTTGAAATTTGTTCAACTGTATTAAATCGATTTGAATGGACATTTCTTACCAATTTTGTTTCGAATACCTCTTGATTCATCTGCTGGCAGCACTTACTGGCCCTTACCGGCGACCAACCCTCACTCAAATGCTTCAACTTCCCGGATGGCGGCCCACTTGATTCACTCCATCTTGATGACCTTCTGTTTGCCTATCAGCCTCTTCCACTTTTCGTCCTTCAGATACAAATCCGGAATAAGATCTTTTTTTTTTTTACACAATCATTTTTAGAGTTTTTTTAATCGTTCAACTTGATAAAAACCATAAAAACACAGAGACGTTTTTTTTTTTAGCAAAATCAAAACACGTCATTTCAATCGCGCGGCTTACTTCGATCATGTATCAAAAACATCTATATCTGTTGGTCCTGAAAATATGTTCATAGTTTTGAAGATTTGTAGCCAATAAATCGAGATGCCTGAGTTTTATCAAACAGTGCAGTGGTTTTCTTACGAGACGAATCAGTGGAAGACTGGGAAAAAAAATCTATTAGGCGACCATTAAGTCCATGATAAAACCTGAAATATTAATTGGATTGCATTGATTTCATAACTGCCCAACTAAATAGCGCCCCTCATTCGATGTATGACATTAATGACTGTATCGTGATTCTCCGATTGTATGTAATAAGCGGTGTCTCCTCTCATTACTCATGAGGGTTTCCTCCCCGCGCTTCCCGCGTACCAACGAACGATTTGTTGATATCAATTTCCCGGGTCCGGCACTAACCGAAGCCGATAGCCATTGCTGCCACTATCAACGCACGCTCGCTAAGGAAAGGGTTTCCTATTTCCCCGTTGCAACGACGACGACGACGATGTAATTAACCTTCTCCCTCAAGGCTGCAATGGTACACCATCAGACCTCTCGGCGCGTAGTAGTCGCGAGTCGCACAGTGTTGTTTGCATAGCTAATGGAATAATTAGCACCAATTTGTAAAGGACTGCTGCTGCTACTACTGCCGCCACCGCTCACCTATGAGCCAACTATCAATGATGTTCTTTTTTGTTTGCCGCCGCAGATAAAGAAAGGTTGTTGAAAATGAGAGGGCGCGGGTGGCAATGTTAATATTTGCTATCACATTTCTCGCCTTAAATCTTCCGCTCATTTATAGATGTAGTCATTTGTTTTAATTGCATAATTTTTAATTTTTTGTTGTCTCTTCTTTATCATTTCAGCACCCAACAGCTACAAAGGTCTGCTGCTACGGACCGAGGTCCTGTACCGATTGCAGCACTACCAAAGCGCACTGGCCGACGCCGACAACGCTCTCAAAAGCCGTCCAACGTCGTACAAGGTCAGTACCGTCGTTAGTTAGATTGAGATCGGAGAATGAATGGTGACAGTGTACTTTCTAGCGTACTTTACGGTCTCCGACCATGCGTTGTGGGTGCCACCATGCTTCCTGTAAACATGTTTTCAAAGTCGAATAAAATCCCACTCACTCGCACCGTCGTTCGACCAACAATTTTAATTTCATTATCGTGCCCGATGACAACAAACAGATCTGAGCTTCGGTTTTCGTTTCCACCCGGCTAGGAAAGTCGTTTTGAGTAATTGATATCGCAATTGTCCTCGAGTGGGGTATGATTTCATCGTTTCAACGGCGTCACCGAGAGTGAAGGTGGGCACCTTCACCTGGGTTCTTACCATTCAACGCCGGGTGGGTGTGGGCGGGGGCAAGTACCGTTTCTTATATTGGCTTGAGCTGCTGTTGCGTCTGGTTGTGGTGTGGTGGCGTGTCTCGATTGCGAGAACTTCCGCCTTCTGCCGACATCATTAGAGGTGTACTTACATACGATATGGGAGATTGCTGCTCGATGCGGAAAGATTGGAACCGAGAACAAGACGTGTTTATCGTTAGATAAATTGCTTACGTAATGGCGATTGTCACCGGGAGAAAACAGGTACAGAACTATACGATACGGAATAGGTTTGTAGGTGGTATGTAGGGAATAAGTAGACCACGAAATTGAATCAACCTTTTTCACAGGAAATACTCTTTACTTCGACTGCAGATGCTAGTTGTAATTTTCTCAAGGATTTTAGGCTGCGTGGTACAGCTAAGAGACTTCATAGTGCTGTTCAGAAAGGAAATGATTTCTTTTCGGTATCAACGTTATTCAATAAATGACTTAACGGTGTTATAGAAACAAGATTTTAGAAAATAAAAAGTTAGGTAGGTTCCGATTCAACACATTGTAGTTTCATTTTTATACCTATGATCTTGACTTTTTTACCTAGGGGATGAGTACTTAAGGGGGTTAGATTTTGATAAGTTCTTTAGTGGGAATGACACTGATGAAGACTGCACATTGTAGTCGAAATACGTATCTGTCATGGATACAAAAATTAATTAAGTGGAATTAAATGGAAGATAAACCCTTTTGCTGTTTTATTTAGCATTCCGCTAACAACCCAATTTCATTACTTCATTATGATGGCTACCAAGCCTTTGGGGATTTTCCTTATTAGAGATTTGTATAGATTTTTCTCCTTTAGCTTACTTAAATCTTTGGTTTTTATTAGTTAGGTAAGTTCCGATTCAACACATTGTAGTTTCATTTTTATACCTATGATCTTGACTTTTTTACCTAGGGGATGAGTACTTAAGGGGGTTAGATTTTGATAAGTTCTTTAGTGGGAATGACACTGATGAAGACTGCACATTGTAGTCGAAATACGTATCTGTCATGGATACAAAAATTAATTAAGTGGAATTAAATGGAAGATAAACCCTTTTGCTGTTTTATTTAGCATTCCGCTAACAACCCAATTTCATTACTTCAAGATTTTAGATTTTTAGAATAGTTACAAATGATTGATCATTCGGCATTTGTAGCCTGTTTTCATACAGTGTACGCAATCTGATTTGAACCGGTTTGTAAAACTAAGGTCTGTCGTGGAAATCTTTATGGCACATAAAAGCAGCTGCCATTTTCTACATTCTGGAACTGAATCAGTGCTGTCATGAAAATATTTAAGCTGATTGCTCACTGATTTTTCATATTTTTTCCCATGCTTACCTCAAATCAAGCAATGTACACACAATTTAGTTCCCTGTAATAAAAACTAGGATTCGAGTAAAATTTGTCTACAGTCGGCTCACTAGAAATACATTTATTTATTTATTTATTTAATTTGTTTTTCTTCATCCGACTTAACGTGTCTAAATGAAGCCTGATGGGGAAAAGCCTAGAAAAGGCGTAAAAACCCCATATATTTTCGAAATACATGAATCACAATAGTACATACAATACAATTACAACGAACATTAATCAAGTCTATAGCATAAAAAAAGTTATCCTCGTATGGCATAGAGTTGTCCGTGAATCATGTAGAAGTCCTCGTCCTTCTAAGGAGTCTGCGTTGTATACTGTGATGAAAGCTTTCCGCTGCACAGTTAAAGTCGAAAAACTCGTAAAACTCGTTGAAACGCCCAGACATGGACCGTATTGGGTCATGCAAGCTGTAGTTCGCAGCACGAGGTCCAAGATGCAGGAAACTCCTGGACCGAAGAACTCGTTCGGGTGCGTAGATTTTGAATTCAGCCAAGATTCCTGGAGAGTCGATATCACCAATAAGTACTTTCGCTGCGAACACGGCCTGACTAATCGTCCGCCTATGTTCTAGTGTTTCAAGACCCAGGAGTTGACAACGATCTTCGTACGGCGGAAGGTTCACAGGCTCATTCCAAGGAAGGTGACGAAAGGCATACCGAACAAATTTCCTTTGAACAGATTCAATCCTCGCTATCCAAACTGCTTGATACGGGCACCATACTACCGAGCTGAATTCCAAGATCGATCGCACTAGAGAGCAGTATAGAGCTTTCGAACAGGCAGGATCGCGAAACTCGTCAGCGATCTTAAAAATGAACCCGAGTTGCCTGTTAGCTTTCGCAACGATGCCCGAGTAATGAAGCTTGAACGTTAAGGCGCAGTCCGGCGTGATTCCTAGGTCACGAACATTGTCCACACGTTGCAGAAGTTGGTGATTTATCGTATAGTTGAATGCCACTGGTTTCAGCTTGCGATGAAATGAGATAATATTACATTTTTGTACATTCAACGTGAGATAGTTTCTTGAGCACCACTCTTCCAAAGTATCGATTAGGTGCTGAATCCGCAAGCAATCGGCGAAGCTACGAACAATCACATCATCCGCGTAGAACGATCGGCAACCAGTTGGAAAGATCAGTCCGGACTCATTCACAAAAATCGAGAATAGCAATGGTCCCAAGTTGCTACCTTGAGGAACACCGGAGCTGTTTGTAAAATGGTCCGATTGCTCTGATCCGATTCTAACACAAAGTTCCCGATTGGTCAGATAGGACTTGAACCAACGAGTTAAACCCGAGGATACACCGAGTTTTTCAAGTTTAGCTAGCAGTATGGAGTGGTCAACCCGGTCGAATGCAGCCTCAAGATCTGTATGTACAACGTCCACATGCGCTCCAGCTTCCATACTCCGAAGACATAAAGAAATGAACGGAGCTAGATTTGTTAAAACTGATCTCTTGGGATAAAAACCGTGTTGGTCAGGAGAAATGTAATTTCTGCAGCTAGAGAATAATGCGTCGTTGTTGATGATTTCTAAAACTTTAGAGCAGGCACTGAGTGATGTGATCCCTCGGTAGTTTTCGACGTTTCTCTTGTCTCCTTTATTGTAGATCGGGAACATGAATGACGATTTCCAACGCGTAGGGATCTCCCCCTGCTGTAATGAAATATTGAACAGGTTCGAAAGCGGTGTTGTAAGCTCTGAACAGCATCGCTTCAGGATGCTTGAGGGGATCCCGTCAGGGCCAGCAGTATTAGAAAATTGCAGCTTCTTGATAGCGGATTCGACGAGGTCTACTGTAACCGAGGTAATCGAAAAATTGAAAGCATCACTGGGAGTGTCCCTCACCGCTTCAGCAACTTGGGACAACGAAGCCGTAGTGTCATTGAAAATGCCTTTGAAATGTTCTGCCAGAAGATTACATTTCTCAAGGGAATTTCTGGCGATTCTATCACCCAGGTGAACTTCGACTGGTAGCCCCTCCTCGTTTCGTTTGGTATTCACGAATGACCAGAAGTGCTTTGGATTAAGCCGTAAATTAGCCTGCACACGCCTTGTGTAGCTCTTGTAAAGAATGCGGTTATATGTGCGATATTCGTTGCTCGCTGTTGAAAATAATCGTTTGGAGAATGGGTTACGAGTACGACAGTATTTACGGAGGGCCTTCGATCTCAGACGCTTCAAATTCCGTAGTCGAGCATTGGACCATGCGGGTTCGGGAGAGGGTCTCCTCAATGGGACAGAATCAGTTATTGCCCGGCCAACGACCTCAGCGAAGTAGTTGACGACTTCATCAATAGATGAACACGTGTCAAAGAACTGCCAATCTGCCTGGGCAAGCGAGTGACTCAGCGCGACGAAATCTGCTCTACGAAAGTCGAGCTCATGTACATCGTTATCGTAGCGAACAGGAACAGATAGGTTGATGGAAACTTCCAACGCAGGATGATTGGTGTCGATGCCAATCAAAGGCTCTGCGGCTTCTAGGATAGAACATTCCAGTCCTGCAACTTCGTTCGCCAGAACGAGATCAAGCAGCCGAGAGTTGCTATTCAGTATCGAGTTGATTTACGTTAAGCCATGCAGGTTGAAGCCATCAAGGAGAGCACAGCAGGATGCGGGCATGTTCGAGCGAAGTACATCAATGCTAGGAAGATCGTTTGCAGGAACGTTTCATGAGAGCCCAGACTGATTGTAGTCACCAAATACCAGAGCTAGATCGTTTTGTTCTAGTCGAGAGAACACGGTACCAATCGAATTGATGTGGTTTGCAATGCTGCTCGAATCAGATTTCCAGTCTGGAGGTAGATCACAGCTGCTCTAGAGAAGTGCAAACTGGAGCAGGATCGATGCACGCGATTTGGTACCATTCTGGTGGTTGCGGTCGTTTCGAAATACCGTGAATAGACTGCCAAATAATTGAGATGAATTAATGCGGTCATCGAGCCGGGTTTCCGTAAGAACTATGACATCGTAGTCAGAGTAAACGGCAGTCAGGAAAAAGTCATCAATCTTTGTTCGCAGGCCACAAACGTTCTGGTAATACACCAACAGGCAGTCGAACGAAGTCGGTTGGAGGTCTGCAGAATGATCGATCAGCCGAAACGAGCATGGTGGTACTCTGGAACACAGAGACGGATCAGGAGAAGATCTGTTTTCAACAAACGCATACTTGCCTGATGTGGAAGGTTGGAAGACCCCTTCACCATTCTCAACCACAGGGTCAGAACGACT